GTTCTCTAACTGTCCACATTGGCCCTCTAGTTTGAATTGTGCCTGCGCTTTAGACTATTTCTTCGATTACTATTACTATATTATCTATATATGATAAATATATATTATATATTATATTTATATATATATATTATATAATATATATATTAGCGGTTAGGGTTTTAGGGTTAGGAGTTAGTCTGGATAATAGCCCTAACGGAGCAGGTCAGACAGATGGTCAGGGGGAGCATAGACCCTTCGAGCGCTAGTGCCGTGGCCCGATACCGGTAGGCGGTACCGATCTAAAACTACAAAACGTTTTCAACTTCGAAGATTCAACATACGCTGCTTATATTCAAAACAGCACCTATATCCTTTGTAATATGACGAAGTCAATATTTTTATTTTAAATGACTTCCGCAGTACGCACTTGCGCCGAGGGCGATATTCCAAGAATAAAAAAAGCTAAGCTAAGACGATAGTCACTCTCAGTCACGCGAAGCTTTTACGTTGAACTTTTGAGTAAACACAACGTGCGCGCACCTATCTGTAAGGCAAAGGCCAGTAATCTCGATGCTCACGCCCCCGTGTTGCTCACCCACAGATCTCTCTCTCAGTAAAGTTACCAGGGGGTGTAATCCAGGATTTTTTCTGGGTGGCGTTCGTGATCATAATTTTTTGGACCTTTGTCACAATGAAATGCGGCCAATGATGCTGATTACAATGTCAATAAATCAGGGGCGTGTACGAGGATTTGTGATACGCAGCAGTTCTTAGCTGGATAACAACTAAAGGTAATCACCTAAAACTTACGGCGCGTGAGCCAGGCATGCGACCATCACGTTGAAAGGGCGTACTTTGGAGAGGGCCATCTGACCCCATCTACACCAAAATTTTGAAATTAGACCTCATCCTTACGATGATCGCGGGCTTTTCCTTGCGCCGAGCAGGGGGCGTCCGGGTACCCTCCCTGTGGAAACTCCCACTCCTCCCCCTGTACACGGCGCGTACTCCTGACAATTTAATGTAAAACAAAATAAATCTCTTGCTCATAATCAAAAAAGTTTTATCCGAGTTAATAAAACACAAAACAAAGCTCTTTCTGACTCAGTTGGAAAACAGAATGTATCAACAGGTGAGGTTTTTGAACATATAAATATTTGTCCTATTATCTTTGTCTCTGTCTGTCTGATTCTTGTTTCTTCAGATAGTCATTTTTGTTCTTGTGTCAAGTCTTTCTGATATAGTTTTATATTATAGAAACAACACAGTTTTGCTTTTAAAAAAAACGGTTCTTTTCGTAGGCTATTCGAATTAGATGGAATGTTTATGGAGCATTAGATTGCTCCCGTCACGCATATTGGCAATGTTTCTTTGGACTCTGCCCGATTGCTGGCTACCTGATCTTATGTCATTTATTGGTCATTGCTAAAGGTCCTCGAAAAAAAATTGTCTTTGAAAAAATGTGGAACCTGTTCTAAAATTGTAGTGGCGGTGTCGGGGGGCGGTTCGTACGACCCTACACGACCCCACCCCCTTGCATACACCCATGTGTACCTCATAGTTAATATACGCATCTGAAAAGACCACCAAAGTACACTTACATTAATACACAGACAAGAACGTAGTATTAAAGAGCTCAAACGTGATGCAAATAAGAGCATCACATAGCTACGGGTATATGACCCCTCCTACCAGTTCGCGCAACTAGATACAAAGGCATCAATAATCCATGCACTAATTAACTATTTTAGAGCGGACAGGGGCCAGTCGAGGACAGATCGCAATTTCATACTCATTGCCTCAAGAGTTAAAGAAGCTAATTCACAGCAACATCTAAGATTCGACAATATTTGCTTGATCGCCCCGTAAATTGTTAACTCAATTCGGGTAGCCAGGTACTGCAGGCCTGGTGCAATGGACGAAATTGCATACAAAGGAAGTCGAATAACGGCAGCCATCGATAGCCGCGGAATGGTTAAATCTGAAGACCACTCTCCACTTTCCTTTTCCGAAGCAAAGCGAGAATCAGAAAGCCTTGGTTAGAACGATGGCAGTGTTCATGCGGGACAGCTCTGTTGCAAGGCAGTACTTTCATCATATGGGAGCCAAATTGGCATTAAACAATTAAAGCATTGTAACGTACACGCACACGTACACACACGTACACACACACGTACACACACGTACACGCACACGTACACACACGTACACGCACACGTACACACACGTACACGCACACGTACACGCACACGTACACGCACACGTACACGCACACGTACACACACGTACACGCACACGTACACACACACGTACACGCACACGTACACGCACACGTACACACACGTACACACAGTATACGCACACGTACAGTGTCGTACACACACGTACACGCACACGCACACGCACACACACGTACACGCACACGCGCACACAGTTTATGTACTGACTGGTATATGCAGCCGAGACCTTATATGCAAGGTCTGCTTCCGATTTTATAAGTAAAGTTTACTGATGGAATATTATCATGGAAATCTATGCTGGGATAACGCTTCTTCATTTTAAATTAATAATTTTGGCAAAATATTCTTCTTCTTGGGAGATATTGCACATGCGCGAGCACTGTTTCAGAGGTGCAGTACTGCCTAAATCAAAGTACGTAATATAGCTTGCTGCGGGAGAGAAGGGTGGGAGACCAACAAAAGGTGGCAGTGAAGACAGCAGAGGGGCGGTGGAAGAAGAAGGAGGCTGAGCCTGGGACAAGGGAGACAAGAGGAAGGGCGGGCGGGGATGAAGTAGTAGTTTTGCACCCTACTAGCTAGGGCGTTCTCCTAATTATAAACACAGATATACTGATAAGAATTTATTACAGAAGCCTATGCTGAGATAGCCCTTTACTATATTAAATGCATTTGCAGCACAAAATATAACTCTTCCGGTGATATATTGCGCATGCGCCCAAACAGTAACGTAGCCAGCTTATGTACTGACCACATTTTCAAGATCGGGGCAAGTGATAGTCCCTTATGCGACTGTGGCCTTGCCAATGAGACCGTGGAACACAAGTTATTACATTGCTCACGACTCAGGGTTAGCAGGGAGAAGATGACTGACACGATCGAACTGGGGTATGTGAAGACCAACACCAACCCAAGCCATCGGACAATTTTCATTGCCACCTTTACTGGGGAAAACAGGAATCTAACACCAGAGATGGATGCCACCATCAAACAGGCCCTCTCCAGATTCCTGTCTGAGTCCATCCCAGTAATTTAGCCACAGACACTCCGTTGTTACAAATTTTAAAAACAACAACAACCAATTACTATGAGGAAACACTGGTAGCTAACGATACAAAGAGGGTATACATTGTGACCATGACCTCATGAAGCAGGAGGATAAACGAATAACAACAACAATGTCGAGCTAGGTTAGTGTGTTAGCGCATGCGCAATATCTCAGCAGAGAAGTTATATTTTGCGATGAATATGCATTTAATATGGTTAGTAGGCATGTCAGCATAGGTTTATGTAATTGATTGCTCTCAGTAGACCTGTTTTTATAATTAGGAGAGCGCCCTAGCCAGTAGGGTGCAAAACTATACTACTTCATTCCCGCCCACTCTTCCCCTTGTCTCTCTTGTCGCACACCGGCTCAGCCTCCTACTTCTTTCACCGCTCTTGGCTGTCGTTCCTACCACTTTTCCGCAGTCTCCCACCAATCTCTCCCGCAGTAAGCTATAGTAAGTACTTTTATTGAGGCCGCACTGCACGTCTGAAACGGTGCTCGCGCATGCGCAATATCTCCAGAGAAAAAGAATAATTTGCTAAAATTATGAATCTAAAATGAAGAGGGGTTATCCCAGCATAGATTTCTCATAATAATATTTCATTTTCATTAGTAGACATCACTTATGTAATAAGAAACAGACCTTGCATGTAATGTCCCGGCTGCATATACCAGTCAGTACAAAATCTGGCTACGTTACTGTTTTAGCGCATGCGCAATATCTTAACAGAGGAGTCATATTTTGTGCTGAAAATTAATTTAATATGGTCAGGGGGTATCTCAGCATAGGTTTCTGTAATGAATTCTTATCAGTAGACCTGTGTTTATAGCTAGGAGAGCGCCCTAGCCAGTAGGTTGCAAAACTACAACTTCATCCCCGCCCGCTCTTCCCCTTGTCTCCCTTGTCGCACGCTCAGCCTCCTTCTTCTTCCATCGCCCTCCGCTGTCTTTCCTGCCACCTTCCCTCAGTCTCTCACCCCTCTCCTCCGCAGCAAGCTATATTACGTATTTTTATTAAGGCCGTACTGCACGTCTGAAACGGTAGTCGCGCATGCGCAATATCTCCCGAGAAGAAAACAATTCTGCAAAAATTATGAATTTAAAAAGAATAGATTTATATGATAAAATTACATTAGTAGACCTCACTTATGAAATAGGAAGCATGAACGCGTGCTGGCAGCCCGCCCGGCTCCTGTTTGACCGTATAATAACGGCAGATAAAAAGTATCTTGGAAGTCAACGGTGACAGACGTCGGAGGGCCTTTTTCGTCGTACATAAGCATAGCTGGAGAATCGTGGCGCGATGCTGCGAGCAAAGTGAATAATTTAGAACGGATTTTACCATGCACACGTGCTGGCAGCCCGCCGGCGACTAGTTTCACCGTATAAAAGCGGCCGAAGAAAATTATCTTAGCAGTCAACGGCGACCGACGTCCGAGGCCATATTCCCTATATATTTATATAGGCCTACCGCGGAACCTATCAGTGTTGTAGGTCTCGAGGCCGGTCTTGGCCTCGAGACCGGCCTCGAAACCGTTTTCATTGGTCTCGGTCTCGGTCTTGGCCTCGGAGTGCAATAACTCGGACTCGGACTCGGTCTCGGGGGGTGCAGACTCGACTACAGAGGTCAGGGGGACATAGACCCTACGAGCGCTAGTGCCGTGGCCGATACCGGTAGGCGGTACCGATCCTAAAAACTACAAACGTTTTCAACCTTCGAAGAATCAACATACCTGTTATTAAGCAGACCTTTCCTTGTAATGACGACATATTTTATTTTAAATGCCTTAGTAGCACTGGCGAGGGATCCAAGAATAAAAAAAGCTAAGCTAAGACGATAGTCACTCCAGTCACTCGAGCTTTACGGCTGAGTAACAACAACGCGCGCCACCTATCTGTAAGCAAAGGCAGTAATCTCATGCTCAGCCCTGTTGCTCACCCACAGATCTCTCTCTCATAAGTTAACCAGGGGTGTATCCAGGATTTTTTCTGGGTGGGTCGTGATCATAATTTTTTGGACCTTTTCACAATGAAATAGCGGCAAGATGTGATTACAATGTCAATACAATCAGGGGCGTGTACAGGATTTGTACCAGGGGGTGGTCTAACCGTAACCCAAACTTGGGAGCACGCGAAGGAGGGGTCTGGGGGGCCCTCCCCCATAAAAATTTTGAAATTAGACCTCCTTAGATGCGTTTTCTGCGCGAGCAGGGGGGGTCCGGACCCCCTGGACCCCCCCCCTGTACACGCCCCTGACAATTTAATTAAAACAAAAAAATTTTGTTTCAAAAAAAAATTTATCAGTTAAAAAAAAAAAGTTTTCTGACTCAGTTGAAAACAGTTTTTTGAACTTTTTGTCTTTATCTTGTCTTGTCTTGATCTTGTCTTGTCTTTGTCTTTGTCAGTCTTTGTCTCTCTTTTATGAAACAAAATTTTGTTTAAAAAAAAGGCTCAGTTTCAGAATTGCTGGAATTGGGATAGATTTACGTCACGCAATTGGCAATGTCTTTGGACTCATTGCTGGTACCTGATCTTTTTCATTTATGTCATTGTAAAAAAGTCCTCGAAAAAAAATGTCTTTGGAAAAAATGTGGACCTTTTAAAATTGGGGGGGGGGATCGTACGACCCTCACGACCCCCCCCCCCCCTGCATACACCCATGTTAACCTCATAAATAATAGTCTGAAAAGCCCAAGACACTATATCGAAGACGATAAGAGATAAAGTTGATCAAATACAGAGATCAACACCGCGGGTCGCACTAGAAAAAGCCTCAAATCTGCAATTAACTAAAGAGGAAGGGATCGAGACATCAACTCTGTCGAAAGAGTAAAGCAGCTATTCACAAACAACATCAAGATTGACATTTGCTGGGTAGCAGGACATGCAGGCCTGGCTGCAAACGAACTTGCAGACAAAGAAGCGAAACGGGCAGCCCTCGAGGCCGCGGAAATGGTTAAATCTGAAGACCACTCTCCACTTTCCTTCTCCGAAGCCAAAGGAGAAATCAAGAAAGCCTTGGTAGAACGATGGCAGTGTTCATGGGACAGCTCTGTTACAGGCAGGTACTTTCATCATCTGGAGCCAAAGGTTAACATAAGCAGCGTTCGCAGCCTCACCAATCGCAGAACAGAAACCAAGCTCAACAGGATTAAAACTGGACACACTAAACTGAAAGCCCACATGTTTAAGATCGGGGCAAGTGATAGTCCCCTATGCGACTGTGGCCTCGCCAATGAAACCGTGGAACACAAGTTATTACATTGCTCACGACTCAAGGTTAGCGGGGAGAGGAGATATTTGCGCATGCCGCGAACATTGTTTCGGAGTGCAGTACGGCCTAAATAAAGTACGTAATATAGCTTGATGCGGAGAGAGGTTGTGAGACCAAGGAAAGGTGGCAGGAAAGACAGCCGAGGAACGGTGGAAGAAAAGGGGCTGAGCGTGCGACAAGGGAAACAAGAGGGAAGGCGGGCGGGGATGAAGTAGTAGTTTTGCCCCCTATGGCTAGGCGCTCTTCCTAATGTTATAAGCACAGGTCTAGTAATAAGAATTTATCAAAGAAGCCTATGCTGAGTACCCCTTATGCATTGCAGCACAAAATATAACTCTCGGTGAGATATGGCGCATGCGCCCAAACAGTAACGTTAGCCAGATATGTACTGACTGGTATATGCAGCGGCACCTTACAATGCAAGGTGTGCTTACTATTTCATAGTAAAGTCTACTGATAAATATATTTATGGAAATCAGTGGTGGGATAATCCCTTCATTTTTAAAATTCATAATTTTTGTCAATAATATTCTTCTTCTTGATAGATATTGCGCATTGCGCGAGCACCATTTTAGACGTGCTATACGCGCCCCAAATTAAAGTACGTAATATAGCTTGATGCGGGAGAGAGGGATGGAGACCAGGAAGGGGGCAGGGAGACAGCCCAGGGGCGGTGGAAGAAGAAGGAGGTGAGCGTGCGACAAGGGAGACAAGGGAAGGCGGGGCGGAAATAAAGTAGTATTTGCACGCTACTGGCTAGGGCGCTCTCTAATTATAAACACAGGTTCACTGATAAGAATTATTACAGAAGCCTATGCTGAGATACTCCTTACCATATTAAATGCATTGCAGCACAAAATATAACTTTTCCGGTGATATATTGCGGCATGCGCGCCAACAATAACGTAGGCCAGCTATTGTACTGATGGTATATGCGGCCGAGACCTTACATGCAAGGTCTGCTTCGATTTCATAAGTGAAGTTTACTGATAAAATATTATTATGGAAAATCTGTGTGGTAATCCCTCTTCATTTTTCTTTAAATATAATTTTTGGCAAAAATATTTTCTTCTTAGGAGATATTGCGCATGCGCGACATTGTTTCGGAGGTGCAGTACGGCCTAAATTAAAGTACGTAATATAGCTTGCTGCGGTGAGAGAGGCGATGTGAGACCAAGGAAGGTGGCAGGAAAGACAGCCGAGGAACGGTGGAAGAAGAAGGAGGCTCGGTAGCGTGCGACAAGGGGAACAAGGGGAAGGGCGGGCGGGGATGAATGAAGTAGTAGTTTTGCCCCTACTGGCTTGGCGCGCTCTCCTAAATTATAAGCACAGGTCTAGTAATAGAATTTATCAAAGAAGCCTATGCTGAGATACCCTTATGCATTTGCAGGCAAAAATATAACTCTCGCGGTGAATTATGGCGCATGCGCCCAAACAGTAACGTAGCCAGCTTATGTATGACTGGTATATTGCAGCCGGCACCTTACATGCAAGGTGTGCTTACTATTTCATAAGTAAAGTCTACTGATAAAATATTATTATGGAAATCAGTGGTGGGATAATCCCTCTTCATTTTAAATTCATAATTTTTGTCAAAAATATTCTTCTTCTTGATAGATATTGCGCATTGCCGAGCACCATTTTAGACGTGCGCAGTTACGGTCTAAATCAAAGTACGTAATATAGCTTGATGCGGAGAAGAGAGGGATGGGAGACCAAGGGAGGTGGCAGGGAAGACAGCCCAGGGGCGGTGGAGAGAAGGAGCTGAGCGTGCGACAAGGAGACAAGGGAGGGCGGGCGGCAGATAAGTAGTAGTTTTGCACCCTACTGGCTAGGCGCCGCTCTCCTAATTATAACACAGGTCTACTGATAAGAATTTATTACAGAGACCTATGCTGAGATACCACTTACCATATTAAATGCATTTTGCAGCACAAATATAACTTTTCCGGTAATATTATTGCGCATGCGCCCAAACAGCATAACGTAGCCAGCTTTATGTACTGACCTGGTATATGCAGCCGAGACCTTACATGCGAAGGTCTGTTCCTATTGTCACAAGTGTGAGGTCTCTGATGGATAATTATCATGGAAATCTATGTTGGATATCCCTTTTATTTTAAATTTATAATTTTTGGCAAAATATTTTTCTTCTTGGGAGATATTGCGCATTCGCGAGCAGCTGTTTCAAAGGTGCAGTACGACCTAAATTAAAGTACGTATATAGCTCCCCTGCGGAGAGAGGATGGGAAACCAAGGGAAGGTGGCAGGGAAGACAGCGAGGGCGGTGGAGAAAAAGGAGGCTGAGCGTGCGGACAAGGGAGACAAGGGGAAGGCGGGCGGGGATGAGAGTAAGTAGTAGTTTTGCCCCACTCGGCTTGGGCGCCTCTCCTTAATTATAAGCACAGGTCTAGTGATAAGAATTTATCAAAGAGACCTATGCTGAGGTACCCCACTACCATATTAAATGCATTTGCAGCACAAAATATAACTTCTCCGGTGAATTATGGCGATGCGCCCAAACAGTAAGTAGCCAGCTTATGTACTGATGGTATATTGCAGCCGCACCTTACATGCAAGGTGTGCTTACTATTTTCATAAGTGAAAGTCTACTGATAAAATATTATTATGGAAATCAGTGGTGGATATCCCTCTCATTTTTAAATTCATATTTTTCTCAAAATATCTTCTCTTTGTTAGATATTGCGCATGCTGCGAGCCACCATTTTAGACGTGCAGTACGGTCTAATCAAGTACGTAATATAGCTTGATGCGAGAGAGCAGGGATGGAGACCAAAGGAAGGTGGCAGGAAGACAGCCAGGGGCGGTGGAAGAAGAAGGAGGCTGAGCGTGCGACAAGGGAGACAAGGGGAGGGCCGGGCGGAGATAAGTAGTAGTTTTGCACCCTACTGGCTAGGGCGCTCTCCTAATTATAAACACAGGTCTACTGATAAGAATTATTACAGAAGCCTATGCTGAGATACCCACTTACCATATTAAATGCATTTGCAGCACAAAATATAACTTTTTTCGGTATATATTGCGCATGCGCCCAACAGTAACGTAGCCAGC